TTATTTATTTATTTATTTATTTATTTATTTATTTATTTATTTATTTATTTATTTAACTTGTACCCCACTCAACTACTGGTGAGTCAATACTCTGGGAAAAAGAAATAAACGCAGGTACACACAAACTGGGAATGCAGTTGATTCTTCAGGATGTATAAAGAGGGTGAGAAGACAAGGTGGTCATGCAACTTAGTGATTAAAAACAATAAGCATGCAAAACCAAATAATAATAAAATAGTCTTCTCAGGGCCACACCTCAGCTGCAGCAGTGGTTAAGTGGCTGTTTGATTTAGGAGAGAAACCAGAATTTGAACTGACTTTTCACTGTGGCTTCTTTGAACCCTGTCCAGCATTTCAGCAGTCTTGATACTAGGCTTCAGAGATGCTGTTTGAAAACATCTATCTGTCTGTCTGTCTGTCTGTTTTATTTTATTCAAAATATTTTTGCCTGGCCACCCTTATACTAAACATCTTAATTTGCATATGCTCACAACCTGAGTTCTACAACCAGTGTAGAAGTATTTCTTCATTTATACTGAAGCAAAAGTCATTTGGATTTATATTTGGGTATGTCACCGCCAGCTCCCACAGTCTTCACCATGTGGGAGCGCCCTAAAATAAATCCAGAACGGATCTTCTTCCTGATTTCTCCAGGCTTTGCTGAAGGCGATCCAGGACTCTGTTGCGCACTCCGGGGAGGTGGTGCGTGAGACGGTCTCTTCCATCGAGACGGTGCGCGGCTTTGCCACCGAAGAGGAGGAGTCCGAGCGCTACGACACAACGCTGAAGAAGACTCAGCAGCTGAGGAACCAGAGAGATCTGGAGAGGACCGCCTACTTGCTCGTCCGAAGGGTGAGTTCTTCTTGTCCCGCGCAGAAAAGAAGACAGTTCTTCGGATGGGGGTTCTTCCATCTTTTCGTAACCATTTATTTCATTATTTTCCTTCTCAAGGACAGTATTTGCAGTTTCACCGTGTCCTTCTGGACTATGGTCAAACTTGGAGTATTCGGTTTATTAGCAAAGATGGAGATGTGGAGAGATTCAGGAGCAAAAGCACAACCAGATTTAATACCCTAGAATTCTAATGTGAGATCTTTCTAGGTAGCCAGAAACAGTTCCTTCAAAGCTCTCTTAGATGTATTTTGCCAAAACTGGAATACTTGCTTTAGCACACACAAATCTCCTCCCTGTATTTCCTTCCACATGGCTCTTAACACCCATGTGAATTTTTAGGGTTGTTGTTTAGGTGCCATCAAATTGCCTCCGACGTATGGTGACCCTATGAACCAGCGAGCTCCAATATGTCCTGTTCTCAACAGCCCCCCTCCACTGTTGCAAACGCAAGCCCATGGCTTCCTTTAGCAATTTAATCTATCTCGTATTTGGACTTCTTTTCCTGCTGCCTTCCACCTTTCCTAGTACGGTTGCCTTTTCCAGAGAATCCTACCTTCTCGTGATCTGGATGTGTGCCAATAGGGTAAGGTAAAGGGTCCCCTTGACATTTAGTCCAGGCGTGTCCGACTCTAGGGCGCGGTGCTCATCCCCGTCTCCAAGCTGTAGAGACAGTGTTTGTCTCTAGACCATTTCCATGGTCACATGGCCAGCGTGTCTAGACACAGAATGCCTTTACCTTCCCACTGAGGTGGTACCTATTTACTCACATTTTTACATGCTTTTGAACGACTAGGTTGGCAGGAGCTGAGAGAAGTGACAGGAGCTCACTCCGTCATGTGGATTCGATCTCACGACTGATGGTCTCCTGACCTTGCAGCACATAGGCTTCTGCGTTTTAACCTGCAGCACCACCACGTCCCTGTGCCAATATGGTGGACAGGTTAAAACTGGGAATGCAGCTGATTCTTCAGGATGTATAAAGAGGATGAGAAGACAAGGTGGTCATGCATTGCCAAGAGCAGGCCACCATCTCTTGCTCAGAGCTGGGAAGCAACAAGTTACAAGTAACTTAGTTACTTTTGGTAGAAGGCAGCTACCTAACAATGTCATGTTGTAAAAACAATGGAGCAAGTGGGAAGAATTAAGTTCCCTCTTGCAGGGGTAGGCACTCTAATCGCCTTCATTATTAGCTGTAAGTTGCCTCTGCCGTCTTTTGTAGCCCCTCAGAAATAATATTATTATTTTCTAAAAGCCCTGTCAACATGATTTTCTGCCAAAAAATTGGTAATGCAGCTTTACACACAATCCCTTTCCCAGTTTCATATGAACCCAGTTCAGAGTTAGCTAATTTACAGTTAAGCCTTGTTTATCACTTTCTTGTTGCTTAAAACTGAGGTTTTGTGTCTTAGAATGCAATTACACCAGGAAAATGAATCAGGAGATGGCTCGGGGTTTTTGAAATCAGTTTAAAATCACATGGTAGCCTCATAGTTTTGGGGTCAGCATGTGCATCCTCTTGGGAAAGCTTTTTAAACTGTGTTGTTTATCTGTTGAGGGGGCTACACAGGCTTTTAGAATCGTTGCCTTTAAGGCTGTGTCCTGCACCCACCCATTCACATGCTCGCTGCCTCTCACAACCAGCACGAGGGCAGGTGGGTGCAGAAGAAAGCCACAGATGCAACTATTCTATAAGCCCATGTAGCCCCTCTCAATTGATATACAAAATAACTGCTGTGGTGTTATTTTTAATATTTGGTGTGTTTTTTTTAATTCTTTCAAAGCGAGATAGCACTAGAACAGTATTACAGATAGGAAAAAAGTAAAACAGATCAGACGGCAAGGTTTCCCTCCAGTCCAACACACACATAAACACAGAGATACACACATAAAGAGTGGGGTGGAGAAGGAAAGGTGGGGGACAGAACTGGCAGGAGGGAAGGCACACCCATGGGTGGCAAAGAGAAGCTGACCAGACAAAATCGGCAGCTTCTAGGCAATGCTTTCCCTCATCCAACTTTTCTCTCTTTGCTAGCTCTCTTTTCAAATTGGATTGCAAGGTTTTCAACCCACCATCATGGCATCCATTACTTGACAGACCCCACAGACACAATTTACACTGACAGAGGCCATCATGTATGCCAAAACAATTCAAAATAGATTGATTTCAGAAGCAATTTAAACAATCTCCTCGTCGCCGAGTAAAATACCTCACTTTCAAACCAAAAAAACCATGCTAGGCAAAAAAAAAAAGCCATGCTCCTTTGTGCGTTGTGTAATTTTCTAAACTGATTTCAAACATGCTAAACCGAATTCAAAAATAGTTTTCCCCCTCACATGTAACCACACCCTTAGTTGGCTGAATTGCATAAAGCAGTCTTCCATTAGCATGTTTGCTTCGGGAGTATGAGTTATTTCCAAGTTTGCTGGAGACTCTTCCTTGCTCCATTTTACATAAAATTGTCATAATGTGCAAGGAATTCTTGTGAAGGAGGTTTGTTTGTGCTTGTGCTTGTTTAGTTCCTGGAGTGTGGCTTTCTTTTGTTTTCACTGGAAACTGTTACTTCAGTACGAAGGAAGTCCTGTTTCAGGACGTAAATGGGCCACCTTCTCAGGCAGTCAAGAAAGCTGAAGTGCACACCTAATATTTTAAACAATGAGAATAGCTGGAAAACGACGTTTAATTATTACATTAGGTCATTTAAACAGAGCACTACGTTGCCAATGCAAAGCCGTTTTTTCGGGACACTGTTAATTTGTTGGGATCTTTCTCAAAATCTATTTCCAAAGGATTGTGAGTGAGTAAAATTTATGAAGTTGCCTTGACCAAAATCCTATTGCCAGTGTAACACAAATGGTGGCGTGATTTTTGGCAGCAAATTGGTGAAGTTTATCAGTGTAGATATCTGGAAGCTGAGTCATGGCAACTGGACTTCTTTCAGTCCAGTTGCCATGACTTAGCTTCCAGATAACCACACTTGGATGGCTGAGAATCTTCACGGATATCAGTACAGATTGTTTTCGTTGCCTCCCAAGTCACGAAACTCACTGTGCGACTAGTAGCGTCTGCCCTGAATCCATAACTTGCAGTAATTGGTCGGCAAAAGGTGTGCTCTCAATTTATGTCAGAAAGTGGATTTTGGCCACTAGTAAAATACTGGTGTATGAAAATTGGCTCTTGATCCCACTGAAGCCACCCATTCTTCCTCTATTGACTTAATAAGTTATGGAGTGTATCTTTTTTCATGATTTTTTTAAAGTACATTGTTAAATACAGTAATTTTAAAATCTTTTATGCCATTTGATTTTGACTCCAAAGTCCCTCTTGCAAATAAAAAAAATGACAACAAGCAAAGGAGCATGTATTTAAAAAACATGGCAGTGAAAAACTGTGAAGAGTAACTTGTCAAACTCAGCCATGAGTAAGAGGCACAAACTAATTTTTAACATTAACTTTCTAGTTTCTGATCTCCTCCGATTTCACCCTTTTCTTTTTTTTCCAGATCCTCCAGCTGGGCCTGAAGCTGATCCTGCTTCACTGCGGGTACCAGCAGATCCTCGCTGGCCTCATCACCAAAGGAAATCTGGTCTCCTTCGTTCTCTACCAGATGGAAGTGGGGCACCATGTGGAGGTACAAATTGTTGAATCCGTCGGTTTTCATTTCTCACTTACCTGTTAGTTAATTCCACCCTATTTCCATTTGTAACCCTACATTCCTTTAAAAAATGAATTCCAACTGAAAAGTCAGAACTGTTCTATTTGCCGTTTACCCCAAATACATTCCATTTTCATACATGTACATGTTTAATATGCACATTTTTCAAAAAAGCCCTTTTCCTGTTCACTTTTTCCCTTGGCCACCTATCTCTATGTACACTTCCCTCCATTTGTCCATATGTTTGCTGTATGTTGGCTTGACATTTCAGAGTGTGAGAATACAGGACACTAGGTAAATCTAGCTATGAATTCTCAAGGTTTTTTTTGTGCCGTTCATTCAACCAGGAAACCGCTGTTAGTCTGTCCGTTTTTTGTCTTACATTCTTGCACAATCTCATACATAGCCCATTGGGAAAATGTCATTTCCCCCCAGGGTCTCATTTAGAAACACAGAGAGAATCCCAGCTACCTCCTGGTCACAAGTTCGTGCATCATCGTCCAGATTCAAGATTTGAATTATTTTATTATCTATATATTAAAAATACGTTTGCTCCGCCAAGACCCAAGGCACTATAAGCACAAGATATATTACAAGCTAAGAACAATAGATTATTCAAATATAAACAAAAATGAATAACATTATATTAATTTGAATATATTATTTCATGAAATTGATTGATTTGGCATGTGGTGCTGGAGGAGAGCTTTGCGCATCCCCTGTGCTGCCAGGAAGATGAACAAGTGGGTGCTAAATCAAATTAAGCCTGAATTATCTATGGTGGCAAAAATGTAGAAAACAGAGACTGTCCTATTTCAGGCACATCATGAGAAGGTAGGAAAAGAGGAAGGCCCACATATGAGATGGATAGACTTCCTAAGGAAGCCACAGGCTTGAGCTTCCAAGAGCTGAGCAGGGCTATTGAGGATGGGACATTTTGGAAATCTCTCATTCACAGGGGCACCATACATCAGAGGTGACTTGACAGAGCATCATAACAAAAAAATTAATGTCCACATTTTGAATGATAAAATAAATTCAGGTATTGGCTAAATATTCATTCATTTTGGCTTTGCCCTTTTATCATCCTCTTCCAGACCCTGATGTATATGTACGGAGACGTGCTGAGCAACGTGGGTGCTGCAGAGAAGGTGTTCGAGTATCTTCACCGGGAGCCGTCCGTTCACACAGAGGGGACTCTGGCCCCGGACTTCCTCCGCGGGCTCGTCTCATTCAGAAATGTTTCCTTCTCTTATCCTTCTCGCCCTGACATCCAGGTCTTAAAGGTAGGGTGTATAAAGTTGAAAGTGCAGCCTTTCATTACCCATAATTCGGAAGGTATGCAAAATGATATTAGCTGAGAAAAATGCAGGTCTTTGGAAAAAAAATTAGCCAGTGTAAAAAAATTCTGTGTAACTTCTGTGGGTTAGAAAGTTTTGCATATGTCCGGTTATTTCAACCTGACAGTTTTTATTGCTAACAGAAGAGATTATACATGAAAGGAAGCAAACACAAAGACGCACAGTTTGACTACCTGTCCCATCTTCGGATTTGCAGGCAGTTTCATTTACCTAACCTTGAGGGCTAGAAACCTGCCTTTTTGAAGTGTAAAGGGAAGCTGAAATAGTTCAGAAACTAGTAGCAGACTGAGAGTTTTAGTCTAAGAACATCTGGGGACCCAAGATTGGGGACAGCTGTTTTATTTAGTTCATGCGTTTCTCTAAATGTCAGAAAGGACGAGAGAAACATCAGACAGTACTCTGAGTCCTGCAACAGCTACCTCTTGATGTTAACTGAAGTAAAGATACCTACATAACTCCAGCAATCAATTCTTCCACATTTTTGTCCCACACCTCTTGTAGCACAGTGATACTTCTTGTGGCAGGTGGGAGATCTGGCGGTTGGGAGAAAAAGGCGTCTTCTCTAGTTGCTGGAGATTTTCTCCTTCTTTTGCTCTCTCCTGCTCCAGAACGTCTCCTTTGAGTTGCGCCCCGGGGAAGTGACGGCGCTGGTGGGTCTGAACGGCAGTGGCAAGAGCACCTGCGTGGCCCTCCTGGAGCGGTTCTACGAGCCTCAGTCTGGGGAGATCCTGCTGGATGGGGTCCCGATCCAGGAATATGAACACAAATACCTCCACCGGCAGGTGAGGAAGCGCCAGGTGTGGCGGATGAGAACCACCTGAGAAACGTCCGGAACCTCTCTTAGGTGGTTCTTGTCTTGAATGAAGTAACTTGGTTAGTTAGTTTTGCCAGTTTGGTTATCTTACAAAATGGACACTGTGAGACATGGGCTGGGCTCTGAAATCTTCAATATATTTGTTTCACAGCACGGAAAATTTATTTTTTTGGGACATCCTCTCTCAGAATCCCCCAACCCACATGGGATTATGGGTGATGCAGTAGGTTTTCCAAGAGCGCCGACCTATTTCTTATTATTTACACTGTAACACATCGGTGTGTCAGGATGGGGTGGAACCAAAAAGCGCAGCTAAAACCAAACAACTTTTATATCCAGAAATGGATCAGGTGTCAAACAGGGACTAACAAGCTCCAAAAATGGGCAGATTTAAAAGGAGAATGGAAAAATATAAATAATTTTAACAGTCTGAAATTTTGTCTACCTATCTGTCTACCCTGAATTGTCAGCAAGGGCAATTTTCTGTAAATCGAACAATTCCTGTTTCTTCTTTGTAGTCATCTGTGAATGCACATGAATGGGTTTAATCTGCGCTTGCACAGAGGTTTCCGGAATATTCTAGAGCAAGATACGTTTGCAAGGACCACCACCCCAGTACATATGGTCTGCCTGTCCTTGCAATTGCCTCAGTTCCTTTTTGCTGCCGCTGAGGTTTCATCTCTCAACGAGCTCCGTTCGTGATCTCTTCTTAGCTAAAAAGACACAGTCAAATAAAAGAATCATTACAGTACAAGAGATAAAGGATCGTAATCTGTGAGACAACTTTTGATCCGATCTCCCTTTTTTCTTTTACCGCCTCCCTTCCCCCTCCCCCTTCCCGCCTTTTATGGCCCCTGCAGGGCCGTTCAAAAGGTGCACTTCGTGCCCAAATAAACTCCCTCTCTCCAACGGCACTATTGTTGCTTATTTTGTTTCGGAGAATCCCATCAACCAACTTCCTGCTCTTTCTGTAAGAATTTTACAAAGCAAGGCTTAAAATTTTGCCAACAACATCTAAAGTCATTCCTCTGGGAACAATACATGCACCCTTCACCAACAACTATGGACGAGACGCAGATCTCTCAACCACCTCCAGCTTCCTTTGACATCACCACTACCTCTCTGGAAAGCATCATTGTCACGCCCGAAATCGAAATCCTCTTCCAAGAATAAGTCCTCGGGATCGACCCTGATACCAAAGCTTCCTCCAAAATCAGGCCGGTCCAAGTCAAAGAAACCAAAGAAACCATCTACTGACTCTCAGGTTCCTAGCCAACAACCACTCCCTACTGAAGACCAACCAACTACAGATCTCGATTTGGACCATGGTTCCATTCTTCCTCCATCTGGCCAACCACCCTCTCTTCTTCTTGCCCAGTCTCCATTGTGGGCTAATACTTCAGCTGAGGTGACAATCCTCCCGTATTCAGCCTGCTCGAGCCCCAAGTCCAGGGGTTGCTCTCTTTCCGCGTGTGAGTTGGATTCATCTTCCATCCTACCTAATCCTTTACCTCCACGCAAACTCACCATACATCGGAGACTGGCCGATCCGATGCTGAGCCTCCACAACCTCCATTACAAATGGGGTTGTCGGCATGACGTGGCTCCCTGGATCAATACCATTGTCCCAAACAAGTCACTGTTACGAGCCTCCTATCTGTTATGAGCCTCCGCCCAAACAGTACCGCCATCGCTTGCACCAATACTGGCAATCCAATACCAGATATTTTATCGCACCCGAGCATCTTCAGTATGCATACTGCTATCCTTCTGACTCTTCCAATTCACCATCTCTGCCTCGTTACCAACCCGGGCAGGTGTGTGACCAGTCATCAGAAGACAATACCATTCCTCCTCCTTCGGTACCAAGACCTCACAAGTTCTCTCACAAGAGACATCATGCTCTTTCTACTGAAGCTTTTCAGAATAAAGTTATTTTTTAAGGTCCTCCTCACTCCTCTAGGTTCCTCACTCAGGGTCTCCTGAATCCCTGCCTGACACTCTATCCGCTATGCCACCATAGCTGTCAACAGGTCATAAAACCCACCTTCAACCCTCATCTTGACCTAACAGGAGGTTCCATGCTGACCAGATGAAGGCTCAGCCCGACTGTTAACTGCCTCTCAGTTTGCAGAGATACAGACCAGATTGTGACCTCATTCTGACATCAGAGGATTCTGACTGGTTAGGAGAACTGTGAGAGCTGCAGTCAAAGAAAGCATCTTTTTCAAGCTCTGCTTGGTATGTGATGACCTTGCCCAAGGCGACACAGGCCGGCTCTTCCTCCCTCAAGGCACAGTGGGAAATCCAACTCCCAACCTTTGGCTCCACAACCAGCCTTTGTAACAATCCCCAAAGAAACCTTTAGCATGACCCGAAAACCTGCTTCCTGTAGAAAAGCTAAGGCACAGATCCCAAATCCTGGGAATCACGCGTTACCTGAAATGTGATATCCTGAGTCACAGGACATATTTTCCCTATCAATAGCTTAATTGAAAATAAGGAATTAATAATTTCAGGAGCATCTTTACAGAAAATGGGTGGTTGACTATTAGTACAAAGGGGCCTTGAAGCTTTTCAAAATAAAGTAATTTTTAAGCTCCTGCCCACTCTAGGATCCTCGCTGAAGGCCTCCTGAATTCCTGCCTGGCACTCTATCCACTATGACACTGGTTCTTAACCTTGGGTTACTCAGGAGTTTTGGACTGCAACTCCCAGAAGCCTTCACCACCAGCTGTCCTGACTGGGGTTTCTGGGAGCTGCAGCTCAAAAGCATCCGAGTAACAAAGGTTAAGAACCACTGCACTATGACACCATAGTTGTAAACAGGTCATATAGCCCTCCTCCAACCCTCATCTTGAGCTAACAGGAAGATCCATCCTGACCAGTTGAAGGCTCAGCCAGACTGTTAACTGCCTCTCAGTTTGCAGAGAAACAGAACCTCTCCGGGTTGTGACCTCATTCTGACATCAGAGGATTCTGACCTATGGCTAGGCTGGTTAGGAGAATTGTGGGAGCTGCAGTCAAAGAAAGCGACCTTATCAAGCCCTGCCTCGCAGTCCATTTTCAATCCTGGGCATCTATCAGGACAGATTCTTGGGTCCTTTCTATAATAGCCACCAACTATGCAATAGAATTCACTTCCCTACCACCACCAAGAATTGTTCTAACAACACCATCTAACATCTTGGAACAGGAAATACAATCCCTCATCTCAAAGGAAGCAATATCATCTCTCATCCCAAGAGAAGATGATCCAGGGTTCTTTTCCCTCTACTTTACTGTTCCAAAATGAGATTGAGGCCTTCGACCCCATCATAGACCTACTCCATCTTTCAGCCATTAGTGTGCACTCACAGAGACCACGAAGAAGAAAGAGAAGTTACTTAACTGTAACTCTGGTTCTTTGAGTAGTCATCTGTGAATTCATACTTCCTGCCCGTCCGCCTTCTGTCCATCATGTCTATTTCATTTGATTCAGTGGTGGCCTTTTGAGAACTGAGGTAATTGCAAGGACAGGTGGACCACATGTACTGGGGGGACGGTCCTTGCGAGTGTATCTTAAACTCTAGAACATTCCAGTAACCTCTGCGCAAGCTCAGATTAAACCCATTAGTATGAATTCACAGATGACCACTTGAAGAACCAGAGTTACAGGTAAGTAACCTCTTTTTCTGTCCTGATGCTCCCCCGGCTTCTGTGTTTTCCTTTTCGCCATGTGGAAACTCTGGGAGCCATGGGATGGTTGTAACTGGGAATATCGTCCTCATGGCAGTTAATTTAGCTAATTGAGGATTTCCTCTTTCTGCCCTTTAGCTCCCAAGGATTCCATGCCATGAAAGAGATTACACAAAAGCTGTGGAACAAAAGTAGGGAATGTTTTTAATTTTAGAAAAATTGCTCCTGCTGATGATGTCATCAGTCTTTAGTGGACATAATTATATGAACAGGATTTCCGTCAGTGCTGGCAGCCATTGTATATAGAGATTTTAAATGCCTGCATGAATAAAATGGTATATGCACAAAGCCAAAAAAATGATGTAGCACAGAATGGATGGACAAAGTGCAGCCCTTGGACTTAATGCACACCCAGAGCAGCTTTTTAGAGGCTTCACAGAGTCCTCTAAATGCCCCTGGGGAGAAAACTGTGTTTTGTGTTGGGATGTACAATACACCCTCCTTGGGATGACGCAGTCAACAGGAAGACCAAACGGGAGATGGATGGACTCAGTAAAGGAAGACCCAACCTTGAGTTTGCAAGTCTTTATGTTTTTGGAGGTCATTAATTCATCAGATCTCCAAGACTCAGAAGCCATTTCAGAGCACATAAAATCGATGGAAGAGCAATGGGGCAGAATATGCTCAAGCTGTAAAGGCTCACTGCTCTTGGTCCAAGAGGATGGCCCGGAAAGTCTGCATGATGGCCACAGCCCATCCCTGCCTCAAAAGCGCTGCTTGTCCTGACAGGATTTCCCCGTAGGGAGTTCCTAATGGCTGTCCCTCCTCTTTCCTGCAGGTGGCGCTGGTGGGTCAGGAGCCCATCCTCTTCTCGGGCTCCATTTGGGACAATATCACTTACGGGTTGGAGAACTGTAGCCTGGAGGAAGTGAGGGCTGCGGCAGAAGAAGCCGACGCCTTGGGATTCATCCATGAGTTGGAAGGAGGCTTCAATGCAGGTGGGCCAAATCGCTTCCCTTCCTCCCGTTGAAGGCTTTCTAAAATTCCGTTCTTGTTTTCTGAAAATGCAACTCTCTCAGCTTTTGGCACACTCGTCCAATGTCATGAAATGCTACCACCTACACCAGTGGTTCTTAACCTTTTTGTCTTTTATTATTATTCAACGGGAAAATCACATGTGAATTGGTTCAGGTGTTAATACTTTTAAGATCATGTAGTCAATCACTTTACTATCAATGTTGTATCTCTCTTGTTATGCTTATGCGTACATTCCTGCTTGTCACATGAGTTTTACTTTCAATATTCTATCCTAAACCTCTTTTACCTGTTCCTAAACCCTAACACTCTCTGGACGTCTTCTGGTCCCTGACTCTTTCTACCTCTCCCTAACTCTAACTGTGTCTCTAACTGTCCTTCAACTCCTTCTAACTGTCACTCTAGCTCCGCCCCTCCTGCTCTATCCTAGGCTCCTCCCCCTTAGCTGCTGTGATGGACAGGCAGGAATGATGCCACCTTTCTGCATTCCGCTACAGTAACAGTGCTCTGTGTCTAGTCACGCTGGCTACATGACCACGGAAACTGTCTACAGACAAACACTGGCTCTATGGCTTGGAAACGGGGATGAGCAACATCCCCTAGAGTCGGACACGACTGGACTAACTGTCAAGGGAAATTGTTACCTTTACCCACTGAATACTCCCAGGATGGGAGGGGTACAGGCTAAAGGCCCCGTCTCCTTCTAGCCTATAGGATTAACCTTTGGAACTCCTGCCCACAAAATGTACAGAATTGACTGCCTTCTTAGATGGCCAGTTAGGAACAGAACGACTTGAACACAGTGCACTCAAGCAGTACCAGTCAGAACACAGATTGGACTGGATCCAGGAAATAATCCTCATCACCCAAGAAAACCTGGAGAGGGGCCAGTATCACTTGCTTTGAGATTTTACTTTTTAAAAGGAGGGCTAGTGTGTCTGAGATTTTGAGATGCAGAAAAACTAGTAGTTAGAGTTTTGGATTTGGGGAGGGAACTACAAACCCCATTCTACTTCATTTTGGGAGTTCTGTGTGATAGGCAGACACCTTACGAATATCTAAATTATGGCCAGCCAGAAGGTTTTGAGGCTTAGCTAGGCCTAGCTGTGCCCACGTTTCCTGTTCCTGCCCCAGGGCTAGCTGGGAGCTTTCTTTCCGAACAGGAGCTCGGCCTAGTTTGGGCCACGGCCTGGCTTATCGGTGACCCAACCCAGATCCCAGCGCAGTGCCCAAAGAAGGTTGGGAGAGATGGTTCAACAACCTGGGGACACCTGGCCCGCCTAGTGGCATGTCCGCAACAGACAGTTGTTATGTACCTTGAGGTTGTGTTTGGAGATTTGAGTTCTCTGTTGAAAGTACAGCGGCTCTCGTGGTACTCCTCCCCACTTCTAATTCTGGAAGACCTTCAGCATCCTTCATCCAACCAAAAAAAAACACGGGGCGGCTGCTTTTCAGGCCCCTTCCTTTCTCGTGAATCCATTTTCCTTTTGTTTGCTCTCCTCTGTCCACCACCATCATTGTTTTGAAGAGGGGGAAAATTGACTTTCTAATTCTTCCTTGATCCTTTTCCCACCTCCTCCTCCTTTTCTTGCATATGTTGGAGAAAAGGGAGGCCAGCTGTCTATTGGACAGAAGCAGCGCCTGGCTATCTCCCGGGCCCTGATCCGGAACCCCAAGGTCTTGGTGCTGGACGAAGCCACGAGCGCCCTGGATGTGGAGAGCGAAGCTGCTGTGAGTGGGGATGTGGGGTGTGCGTTTGTGTGAAAAGGGAGGAATACAATAACGTGCTGGGTCGATTCAGAGCATGTTACCATAGTCTCTCGAGACTGAAGGACGCCTATGCTATGCTATGAGGTTAGTTAATATTAAACATATGAGTTCAGATCTTGCTAAGAATGTGGCCCAAATGTTATTTGGAGGTCTTAACTACATCAGGCCCACTGAATCAGTTGTTGAATGGTTCATCAGCACTTCTGTAAATCCCACTGATCCAGTGGGTCTACTCTTTGAGACTACCAACAAGATGCTGAGCTATGTCTTTGATTTGTAATTAAAATATGTATTTTGTGTGCCTTTAAGACTTTCCAAAGGCAGCCACACCACCTTCCAGCAGGGTAGAACTAGAAATAATGCATGTCAAATGTAGGAAGCAATTAAGTAATTTATCAAAGTATCCACTAGTAGAATACACCGGGCCACATAGAGCAGCTCCTAAAGGTTGGCCTGTCTCGCAGGGGTGATTATCCATCTGAAATATTTTGAAGATCTGGCCAATGTCTCGCTAGGGATTGAAGCTGATTTGGGATCAGAGGTGGCTCCTCCATCTCAGATACCTTCCTCTGTGGGGGAGAAAACATAGGGGATAACATGGACACCACCACCACCACCCCTGAGTTCATGGCCATGGCCAAGGGCTTCGGACATTCACAGACCCAGGCGTCTGCTCCACGGTTGACCCACGGTTTCTCCACTTCTGCGCGGGTCTTTGATAAGCCAAAGGGCAAAGCTGCCCAAAAGTTCTTGGTTATCCCGCATCCGTCTGCAGGGGTGTTTTGGCAACCAGCGCTTGGGTCAAGGAAACTCTACGTGTCCCGTGTCT